CACACGTGACTGAGGTCTAGTGCAGGTGGTGCACACGTGACTGAGGTGTAATGCAGGTGGTGCACACGTGACTGAGGTGTAGTGCAGGTGGTGCACACGTGACTCAGGTGTAGTGCAGGTGGTGCACACGTGACTCAGGTGTAGTGCAGGTGGTGCACACGTGACTCAGGTGTAGTGCAGGTGGTCCACACGTGACTCAGGTCTCGTGCAGGTGGTGCACACGTGACTGAGGTCTCGTGCAAGTGGTGCACCCGTGACTGAGGTCTAGTGCAGGTGGTGCACACGTGACTGAGGTCTAGTGCAGGTGGTGCACCCGTGACTGAGGTGTAGTGCAGGTGGTGCACACGTGACTGAGGTGTAGTGCAGGTGGTGCACACGTGACTCAGGTGTAGTGTAGGTGGTGCACACGTGACTGAGGTCTAGTGCAGGTGGTGCACACGTGACTGAGGTGTAGTGCAGGTGGTGCACACGTGACTGAGGTGTAGTGCAGGTGGTGCACACGTGACTGAGGTGTAGTGCAGGTGGTGCACACGTGACTCAGGTGTAGTGTAGGTGGTGCACACGTGACTGAGGTCTAGTGCAGGTGGGGCACACGTGACTGAGGTCTTGTCCAGGTGGGGCCCAGAGAACCCTGGGAACTCCAGGTCTCTAAACCTTGAGACTCTGAGCTTCACCAGCCTCACGTGCCCCCGATGTCCCAGCGCACACTGTACATTCCAAGGTTGCATTTCACAATTTTATATTTTAAAATTGCACATGAATTATGCAAAGGCAGGGGATTCTTTTTCTCCAAATTGTGGCATCACCGAGGTCCCAACATATGAATCATTGATGGGCAACATGCAATGTGGGAAATATTTTACAAACCCGACGATATTTAATATTTAATTCTTTACAAGTGTAGTTAAGTCACCAAAACGAACAATTTCCCTAAAATAGAAGTGCCTAATGCACAGAACTCGAGTCTTAACTGTCGAAAAGATTAGGTTAAAATACAAATTCCTCCTATTTCACAGTCTATGAATTATTGGTGCTGATATAGTAAATAATCGAGATGTATTATATAAAGAGAGAGGCCCGCAGAGCTTGGCCAATTTTTGGCGCCGGCTCTCAACTAAACTTTATATTTTTTTATTTTTACAGGTAAAGCCCACTGAGCTATACAGGTCATTTTTTTCAGAAGCGGCCTGGCTATCATAATGATAGCTCAACGAAGGTGGCTTATCACGTGGACATTTACAACATCCAAATACTCTAAACGCGTGTTTCTAAATGTGAAGAGAAACCCCGGAGTACCCAGAGAAAAATCCCTACGACCACAGCAAAGAGAGACACGCAACCTACAAATATACAGCAGACGTCAGAGTCGGGATCGAATACACGACCTCCTGTATACCAGGTGAGGTAGTTAACATATCGCCACTGTGGCGCCCCATATATATATATATAGAGGACCGCAGAGCTTTGGGCAATTGTTGGCGCTGGCTCTAAACTAAACTTGTTTTTCCAGGTAAGGCCGACTGAGCTATGCAGATTTTTCTCAAAAACCACCTGGCCACAAATGATAGCTCAGCAAAGTCGCTTATCACGTGGACATTTGCAGGAGCCAAATACTCTAAACACGTGACGTTGTTTCTAAATGTGGAGGGGAAAAAACCGAAGCACACAGAGACAAATCCACACGACCACGGAGAGAGAGACATGCAAACTCCAAATATCCAGACGTCAGGCTCGGGATCGAATCCACGACCTCCTCTACGCCAGGCGAGGAATTAAAAATGGACAGATACTGTATGTAGGACGGGCAACAGTGGGGACATTAAAAATGCGTTGTTCGGAAAAATGGAAGTAACCGCAGAGAAATAAAGACCTGACAGGGAATGGCTTACTCTTTGTTTTTTTCGGTAAAGTCATGTAGGTAAAACAATTAATAAAGTAATTTAGTTGTTATTTTATTTTATTAATTGGTTCACCTACGTGACTTTACCGAAAAAACCAAAGAGTATGAATCCTTGCAGTCACGAAAGCTTCAAATCTCGAATTAAGGGAATGGCTTGACGACGACGATAAGAGATTGGTGCCAAAAAGATGTGGCGCCACTTGAGAAAATTGTCACAAGACGGAGAAAAGTGGAAACAAATAACGAAATGTGCAGTGGACACCTAAAAAGGCTATCTGCCCATAGATCATGGTGATGATGATGATGCACAGGCGGTAAGGGATGGACGCGTGGGTGCATAGGGTGACCACCATCCGATCGTCGACATCAGTGTCAACGGTCTGCTCCATTGCTCTGAGACGATGTCAACAGTCGGATGTTTTTGTTGCTGCACGGGTGATGTCCGTACCGCGCGTGGTGTGCAACACGGCATGGATCGCGACTTACGGGACGTGGAGCGGCTGAGCAACGCGAACCACCACAACACGGCACCGGAGCGCAGCCGAATCCCAACCCTCGTTTTTTTTTTTCTCACCTGCTGTTTACAGTCCCGAGTCGATGGTTGGAAGTCCACATTCATCTGGCAGGGGTAAGTCTCTGCATAGCACAGTCACTGTTGATGGCTTCCCCAACAAGCCGGTACTTGTTTTATGGACCCCGGAGGGATGATGGGCTAAGTCCGGGACTCCACCAGTGCAGAGTTTTGTCTGATTAAAACAAATGTTCTCGTTAAACATATGCGAGATGTTAACTGCCTCGCTTGGTATGCAGGAGGTGCGTGGGTTCGATCCCGACCCTGACACCTGCTGCTGTATATTTGGAGTTTGCGTTGTCTCTCTCCCCGTGGTCGAGTGGATTTTTTCCGAGTCCTCCGGTTTTTCTCTCCACGTTTAGAATCAACAACACGCGTTGAGAGCATTTGCCTGCTATAGATTTCCACGTGCGACTTCATTCGGCTAACATTTGTGGTCAGGTCGCTTTTGAAAAAAAGTTATATACAGTAGCTCAGTAGGCCTTACCTGGTAAAACAAATTATAGTTTAGTTTTAGTTTGATCGAAAAGACACGAATTTTAGGCTGTCGCATCCAAAACGTAGCTCACTGTTTTTTTTTTCAGATTGTACTTGTTGTTGGTCAGTATAATGTCCGACGTTTTACTCCGCGGGTTGGGAGCTTCTTCAGCAAACGACGTTTCGGTTCACTTCTTGAGAACTGAGTCACACAGGAAGGACTTACGTCCTGGGGCTGAGCGCGTCATTTATTCTCGACGTGGAGAGACGCGGAACTTTGCCTGGCTGGCTGCCCTGTCGACTGCTTCATCATTTCACACGACTCAGAATACACGAAGACAAAGATCCCCCTTATAGCCTGAACAGACTTTTGGGGCAAGTGCTGTTAGCGAGCAACTATGAAGGCCAACTACGGCAGACTAGAGGGTAGGTGGCCAGCACCACACCCGGCCGCCTTTGTCTCTCTAGTGGCGATGTCTGAATATACAAAGATCCCCCGTATAGCCTTAACAGACTGTTGGGGCAAGTGCTGTTAGCGAGTACCTATGAAGGCCGGCACGGCACAGGTGCGGGTAGGTGGCCAGCACCACGCCCGACCGCCTTCGCCTCCCCAGTGGCAATGTTTACACACCACACCAGGCACACATTTTTTAGGCTGAGTCGACCTCGGGGAGGCCCAGGACCGGTTCAGATAATCGTCACCGGTGGTGACCGTGAGCGGGAATCGAACTCGTGTCGCCGGGTTCGTAGCGCCGCTCGCTAACCGCTGCGCCACCGCTCCCACACATTTTAGTGCGTACTGTAACGCGCGATCTGTGGGACGCTAACAGCACTTCGCCCACAGTCGTTGGCGAAGTCTTCTAATTTTTTTACGAGAGGAGAGCATTTTTTTTAATGCAAAAAGCGTACGTAGCCTTTCGGAGGCGCTGAGTCAGAGCCCCCCTCCTCTCAGAGGCAGCGGAGATTTGTCATGGCGAGGAAATGAAAGCGGTGACTCGATAGCAGGTCCAGCATTGCCCCCACCTCCCTCCTCCTGCTGCGCCCCCCCCCCTTTCTCTTGCCCCCCCCCCCCCCGCCTCCTCCCTGCTCCAGAAGCAGCACATGCCTTCAATCTGCGACCGGTCTGAGTGCACAATTCAAAGGTTAATAGAAGCCATTTCCGCAAACTTGCCACGTGACAAAGGCATGTCACTAAAAAAAAAAGTGTCCCATTTACAAAAAAAAAACTAATCTCGGTGTCAGTCACGAGCCCACTGTCGAGCAATTCCGAATTGGCAGAGCCAGGCAGAGAGCAAGGGGGAGCGAGGCGCCACACGGCGCTTCATCATCCGCTCGAGAGAGAGAGAGAAAGAAAAAGAGTGGGCCAAGGAGGGCAAATCAGTGACCGAGATCATTTTCTGATGCTGCTGTCCCACGCTCAAGCACCGGTTATGTTGACAATTTCACAACAAAAAGACTTGCGCGGAAAATGCACGGGGCGTTTCGGATTGTTTTAGGCTGCCGCTGCTTGCTGCTGCTGCTGCACGGTTTGATATTTTGAGAGTTGGAACCGCAGTTGACAAAATAAGTTTTTTGTATCATATAAACAAGACAAACAAAGGCGGAAAACATGCAGCATGTCCGTGCAATTTACTTGACAAAGATTCTCCCTGTAGCATATAGACAATTTTAGGGGTAATGCTATTATTATGAAGCAGCTGGCACGACCAACACTGCAGACCACCGCTCCGGGTAACCGTTTACTCGCTTGACGAAGCCGTGTGTGCCCGGACAAACCGGGCGAGGTTTCTGCAGCGGCGCGCTTGGGGCATCCTCGCAGCCAGCGGACATCGCTCACCGCGCCACCGAGATGGGGTGGGGGCGCTCAGGAATGAACCCCGCAGGACGAGCGAGCGATGGCACCGGGGTGGGGGGGGGGCACGGCGAGCACGTCCCAGCGTGGGCAGCGGAGCGGGGGGAAAGCGGACGCGGATGTTGGGAGGGGAGGAGAGGGGGGGGCGTGTGAGAGTCCAACGGCCGGGCAGCTTTGTGATGTCCGCGCACGATTGCAAAGTCATCGTGGACTCTTTTTTGTTTCGATTTAACGCTTTCGTGACTGCAGGGATTCATCTTCTTGGTTCTTTCGGTAAAGCCACGTAGAATGGAACTAATAAAATAATACAAATAAAACATAATAAAATAATTCTCACGACGACAGGCTCTGTCTTCTCGACAGACCTGTTCTCCACCTGAGGACGGACGGCTGCTTGCGTTGTGGCCGAAACGTCGTGAGAATTATTTTATTATGTTTGATTTTTTTTATTTTTTTTTATTTCCATTCTACGTGACTTTACCGAAAGAACCAAGAAGATCTTTTTTGTTTGTTTGTTTAAAGTGCGGTGAGAGCTGAAGCCCAACACAGGCCGTATCTGACTGAGAGCCCAGCGGCGACCCCATTCCTCTTACCCACGTGGCGTGCCACGTTCCGGTAACCGGTTCACCTCTCACCTGCTCCGTGCCAGGTTGTGACCGGCTCCTGCTCGGGCAGCATGGCAGAGTGCAGGTGCGTGTGATCGAGGTGTGATCTATCGCCCTGGCAAAAATACAGACATCAGCAGCAGCAGCAGAGGCAGTGTATTATCATATAGAGTAGATCATGGCACATGAATTATCACAACTGAAAAGATAAATGAGCGCAATTCATTTTGCATTTTCTTTTCGCTCGGCTTCTCCTGCAGGGCTTTTGACTCATCTGTCACTTGTTATTGGTAATGTATTTCTTTTGGTTTGTCTCCCGCCTTTCGCTTTGCACACAACATGAAGCGATGGCCCTTCAGCGGCGCACGGGTACCACCATTAACCCTTGTAGTTGATTCAAAGCGACGTTGGGCGCAACTTTGCTGGAAACCTAAATTTGACCTTTCATCTAAAACAAAAAAAAAATCACTCCCACGCACACACTAATACATGTTGATATTTGCATGATGCTATGAATGTGTTGTTGTTTTTTTTTAAACCACAGCAGCAGTGGCGTCAGATGTAAGACTTGTGTGTTTCGGCTCTCTGATGTGAGTTCAGAAAATGTATTTGAATCATAATAAAAATAATTATTAAAAACGGAATAATTCAGTTCCTGAAAAAGGTCCCCTAAAAGGGGCGGTGAAACGTCGGACATTACGCTGAACAGCACGCGGCACGACCCGAGAAACACGTCTGTCGCTTGCACAGCAGTACAACCGCGAGGTCCTGACGGGAGAGGTGCGCGATTCAGCCACCACGGGGGCACGACCACGTGCTCTGTGACGTCGTGGGCACAGCTCCACTTCGATTCTAGCGCTTAACTGGAATTACTTTTTATGTTCCTCCGATTAGCACGGTCGGCTACGTACGGTGCGAAAGAAGTTCTACATACATCTATATATATAAAATGTAATTTTGTGATTATGTGTGTCTGTTCGAAATGTTTAGCATACTTCCCGACATGCTCCAAACTTGAAATTTGGCACGTGGGTAGCTTCCAAACTGTACACAATGCAAAAAGTCTAAAAATAGAATTTTGTATTGGGGGGGAGGGGCGCAATAATGAATATATTTTGCACGGCAAGTGAGCGGTGACGTCACATCTGTGATGTCACCCGCATGCGGCAGCGTCACGCAGTGTGCCTGCTGACGTCACGCCCCCCCACCCTCCGCATAGGCCGTGCATCCCGAACAAATGCGCGGCTGGGGGGGTATAATATACTACACTACACTATACACTACACTATATACTACAATATAAACAACTCTACACACTACACTATAAACAACTCTACACACTACACTATACACTACGCTACACACTACACTATACACTACGATACCCTACAATACACTAAATTACGATACACTATATTTCGATTTAAAGCTTTTGTGACTGCAGGGATTCATCTTCTTGGTTCTTTCGGTAAAGCCACGTAGAAAGGAAGTAATAAAATAATAAAAAATAAAACATAATAAAATAATATAATAAAATATAATATAATAATATTATATTTTATTACTTCCCTTCTACGTGACGTTACGATACACTACACCACCATACCAAATTTAAAACTGATTTCTTTAACACTGCTTTGAGTGTTCAGTTCGTTGTCCTTCTCCGCACCTCCGATTAGCGCGGTCGGTCTCCGTACGGTGCGAAAGAAGTTCAACGTACGTACGCACACACGACATTATCCAGCCACTGCCGCACTCACCTCGTCACTCGAGGAGGGGAGATCTTGTCCGCGTGGAAATACCGCTGAGCCTCGCCACTTTGTATCACCACAACGGCCTCCTGCGGTGACAGATGCGGCTGGGCCGTGACGCAACGTTTGTCCTGTTAAGAGGGACATTTGAACGCCCCAGCTTTAGCGCCTCCGATTAGCACGCTTGGCTACGTACGGTGCGAAATAAAGTTCAACACACACACACACACGTGATGGCAGCAGAAATGTGGTTGCAGGAGCTTGCTGCCAACGTCGAGGTCTGCTGCTGCTGGCAACAACGACAGAGCTTCAGCAGAGAGAGACAGAGAGAGAGTTTGTGTAGT